GGCAATAATGGACCGAACTTGTGCCATCTCGCCGAAATATACTGCGCGACCACTTGTTTTATGTCTAGACTGTTGGAAGTTGGAAGTTTCGGGACGAGGCAAGCATCGAGGGAGTTTCAAATACGGAGAATTCGCTCGGATGCATAAGGAATTTGCTTGGATAAATTGTTTACATAAAATATACAATTTTCATAAAAATGCTTTCATTCTAGTTCAAACGGTTTATTACGGTTTTGATTGGATTTTATGGAAAGCAGGTTTGGGACCAATCTAGAAAACAGTTTATAAACTTAATTTCTGTATGATACACTGTTTTGGCAGTACAGAATAGTTAACAGTACAACACAGATTCAAATAATATGCAATTCGTTAGTGTATACAGGGTGTTTCGCATAAGAACAGACACAGAGCATGTGCGTGTTGGGTACCCCAAAATATGATGATTTAATACAATTTACCACTATACCAAGTTGTACCTTTAATGAGTTACGGACGCCTAAAGTGGGGCCATAAATTTCGAAAAAATATAATATCTCTGCAACCGTTTAACTTAAAAAATCTATATTTGGTACACATCCCCACAAAAAAAAAGTCTTTAGACTTGGCGGTCGGACATATGTATTCCCATGTATTTTTTGACGCTGAATCCGATCCCGAGCTCAGAAATGGCCCTCCACGTCTGAAATTGGCCCCAGGGGCCAGAAAATGGCCTCTATATGGCCTGAAAGGTGGATTCGGAGATGAGGCGTGGTTGAAGGTGCATTCTAAAGCCAAAATCGGGTTTGTGGTCAAAAAGTTCACGGACAACTGGAATTCCCCGTGCGGACCGGGAAATGGCCAGGTAGGTGTCGGAAAATCGTGTTTCGGACGTCGCAATGGGATCAGTGATATGTTTATGTATTTTTTGAATTCTGAAATAAATACCGTGCTCGAAAAGTTTATGGCCAACTGTAATTCCCCGTTTGGGACCAGGAAAATGACCCCTTAGGGGCCGGAAAATCGTGTTTCGGACGTAGCAATCGCTACAGTGGTATTTTTATGTCCTTAGTTATCCTAGTTCTCGAACTCAGACTGTGCTCGAAAAGTTTATGGCCAACTAGAATTCTCCCTTTGGGACCGGGAAAACGACCCCTTAAGGGCCGGAAAGTGTTTGGGACGTAGTAATCCAGTGGTATTTTCATGAAAATTGAGTGAAGTCAATGTTCTTTTATTCTGCGAATAGATTTGACGTCGAAAAGGTTTCATCACGCTCGGTAACGGCCTTAATTCAAGAATTACTCATATGTGATAGTTTTCTCCGGTACCTAAAAGATCCCGAATGCCTCATCCACCGATTCTAATTCGTCTATCCTTTACCCATGTATTCCTCTACACTCGATTGCCAAGTATAAAAAGTAGTTTAAACGATACAGTATAGAGTCCAAGCCTTTACTTCCCCATATGGAAGTATATGCATACAGTGAGGTATACGGGGATCTCTAATAAGACACAGTAGTCTCGATTTTGTGAGGAAAGCCCTCTCAGATGACGTTTAGGCCGGAGTTCCGGTACACCAGGTCTCTGGAGGTACATTTTCGTGATGGAATTTGGATTCCGCGTACCTAGAAACCCCCATGACGATTTTCGGTTTTTAGCGATTGTGTCTGGAGAACCCTCAGTGTTAGGTGTTCGGGGATCGTTTTCGACGTGAAATTTGGACCAAAGGCCCCAAAAAATACCCCTACAAGGTTTTTCGGCTTGTTTTTGGCAATCTTGACAAGAAACTTCTCGGAGATGACGTCCACGTGCCGGTTCCAGAATACCAGTTGTCCAGGGAGTGTTCGCCGATGTTATATTTAAATTCAACAACCCAAAAAAAAACCCGAGCACCGAGTTTCTCTCCTTACCCGCGTGAATTTTGGGATAGTCCTCGTAGATAACGTTCATCGACGTTCAATTTGAACATCATAATCGTGATTAGCGACATCGAAAACACTCAGGAACTCGATTTGGGCCAGTCCTGACTCTTCCAACTTGCAGGCCATATAGAAGCAATTTTTGACCCCTGGGGCCAATTCCAGACATGGAGGGCCATTTCTGAGCTCGGGATCGGATTCAGCGTTGAAAAATATATGGGAATATATATGTCCGACCGGCAAGTCTGAACATTTTTTTTGTGGGGCTGTGTTATTTAGGCGTTTCATGATTTTTAATTTGGGGGTGAGTAACAATTAATTGAAATATTTTAAGGGCTGATTTTGGAGTAACTTACACTTATAACTTTACCGAACTTTTTTGTCCATTTTTAAAATTTTAATTTCATTTTACGCAAAAGTTTGTCTTAAAACTTTTTTACTCCTTTTATTTTTTATTAAACTTATTATTTTTCGAAAAAAATTAAATCACTGCATTATGATAAGGTTAATACATTTAACAAAATAGCAAATTCCTTTCAATAAAATCGATTTAAATGAGAACACAATTAAAACTAATAATATTAATAATAATAATATCTAGGGGTGGGTGGCTCAGTGGTAGAGTCTCTGCCTGTGGATCCAAGTGCCCCATGTTTGAATCCCACCGTTGGCCGGGATTTTTTTATTTAATATAATTATTAAAAATTAATTCTGATGCCTTGGTAGGATTCCCCACTCGACCATTCACGGTTGGGTTCTAAGTAACAGTGCTGTTCCTAAAGTGGCGCTGGGAAACAGTAACAAAGCCTACACAGAACACGAGGCTAATGACTTTAGCAGTCGATGCCGATGACACCAAATTAAAAAAAAGAAAAAAATAATAATATCTACATAATAATAAAAATTAAGTACACTTGGCCCCACTTTAGGCTTCTTAGGGGTACAAATTGGTACGCACCTGTTATGTGTCGGTACTTATGCGGAACATCCTGTATATTAAACTAAAGAGGTCTTATAGAAGCATATTTATTAAATTCTATTTGAATTAAATAAATAGTCATGTGTAGTGTGAATAAATATCAAGCATTTGCTTTTGCTTGAAAAATGGTAACAAATTGTTCTTACTTTCCAATAAATCAAATTTTTAGCTTGAATTGGGGAATAAGAATTATTTGATAAAGACTCTAAGAACTTTAACTAAGGTCCCGAAATGTAATTGTTTAAAAAAATAAGCACGATTTGTTTCGCCAAATATTATTTTAGTCCAGTGCTCTTTGGTCCAATTTAGTTTGGAAGGGCATTTCTTTGGCCTACCAATATTAGATTTATTTTTAGTTAGATTGTGGGTAATATTTTAAAATAAACTATTTCTAAATTATTTAGCTTACATCATCTATTCTAATGTTGATTTGATTGAAAAAATTTTAAAGTTCACTTTTAATTTAAACAAAAGTACATTTGTTTAACTGAAATTTATAATTAGGCAGTAAACTTTTTTACAAACACTTTCACATCAGGTGAAAAATGCAGTTTTACCCAAAGATGTCACATTATTTCTTTAACAGTCAAATATTCATTTTTTTATTTACTAGAATCTTTCCAGGAAAACTAGCTACCAACATTCCCTGTATTTTACAACAAAAAAAATTGTATACCTACTCTAAATTATCGATTTATATTTGTAGTGCACGTTTTCGAACACGCGGCCCTCTTTTGTTAATTAAATTAACTAACTTTTTCCAACCTCGTTAATATAATACTTTATATTTTTTTAATTTTTTTTTTTCGTTATTTTCGTGCCTCGGAAAAACTCGCTAGAGCGCTTATTGGGAAAATGTTTTATTGGGCGTTCATTAGCGACTTAATGAAAAACATTAAACAATACGATACCGAGGGGCCAAGTGTATAATAAAAGGAAACCGGATTTTAAAAAAGTTTCCGATAAATTGTGAAAGGAAAATTGAAAATTGCTTTTTCGTACGTTCGATAATTAATATTTTATATATTTAATTAAGGCGAGGTGGGATTTTATTAGTTTCCGAAAGAATAGAATGGCGGAAAATGAATAAAGAAAATAATGGGCGATAACTCTTGAATTCTACACGAATATTAGAATTAGATACAATGTTTGAGCGGCATTTTTTATTTTATTATGTAAATATTGTGCAATAAACAACATAATGGAGATTCTTAAATTAAAGAACAACACAGATAATAATAAAATACGGCGACGATTGACAGAAAAAAATAGTCTATCTGTCGTTGATCATTTAACGGTTATGTACATTGAGGCCCTTATACCTATCATACCTGAGATGGATGGAGAGTCACTAAGCCCAAAGTGATGGACGCGGCGGGAGCTCAGGTAAGACAGGTATCGATTTTTTGAAAAATTTTAAATGCATTTGACCACGTCTGCCATTTCGGAATTTGAAAATATATCATTATTATCAGAAAAAAACAATGGCAGACCATTATCGCGTGTTTAACATTATGGCAGATAGTTTTGAAAGTGCTAAAAATAATAAAATTTTGAAAATAATGGACCAGATCTGCCATTAATATATTTTATTTATTAGGGTCTTAAAAAATTATATTCATCACGGCAGACGTTTTCATTGAGTACACACGTCAGCAGACAACAAAACCTTAGCTACCATCTGGTCAGATGTATGTGTATTACGTTCCTTGTTTCACATCAATACGATCTACCTTAATTCTTTAAATATTTCGAGATACTTTTTATGAAAATAACATCGTCCTCAATTTATGACATTCTCTTCAATTAAACAACATATTTCTTTATAAACAGTTTCATGTAATTCTTGGGAGATGTGCCATGAAGTACGGACAGGACTTTTCACTAGTGATCTTTTCTGATTCCTGAAATTTTGCCAGCAAATATCATGATAATAGACTTCACAAGAGAGAACACTTTGTATTTTGGTCAAAGTTTCACTGTAAATTTCAGTATCTAGTTTAAAGTTTAATAAAATACTCTTTTCAAATTGATCCTTCCCTGAAGTGCTTAATGGCTGATTCTTAGAGCGACATTGTTTCTTTTTCTTGTTGCAAAAAACACACATTTAAGTTTGCTGAAGTTACATTATCAGAAGTATGAACAGTCGATGATTCTTCTAAATCTTCAGAAGGTCCTGCCTCCAACGGCTGTTCAACTTCAGCGTCAATTTCTTTTTCTACTTCTTCTGTCTCAGGAAGATTCACATCTTTTACAAGGGAATCATGTACAATTGTATCATCAATTATTGAGCTATCAGCTGTTGTAGATGGTTGTTCAATTGCAGACGAATACATACTGGGCTGTGATGGCACTTTTTTTTAACATCTGTCGACATAAAATGTCTTTTAAATGCTGTAAATGTCTTGTAACGACTACTATGATATGCAGAATCACAAATGTCGTCCGGTAAAATGATATCTTTATATTTCAATTCAAGAAATTTTCGTATCCTCAAAATCTTTTGACATTTTTAGGGTCGACTAGAGGGAGGGGGGGGGGTAGCCGGGACTAATTACCGGGGCCCGGACTCAAATGGGGGTCCGGCAACGGTATAAGGGAGGCCCGGCAACTGGATTTTTTTTGATTTGTATGAGAAATCCGCCAGAAGACAAGAGGGGAAATTTTTTTTTGTTTGAGGAGCTTTTTTTGTCACGGGGCCCGATCTAGAAAATTGTCCTGGGGCCCGGCCTGGCTCTCGGCGGCCCTGGACATTTTGACATAGTCTCTTCTGAAATTATCAGTAATTTATCAGTTTTTACCATGTCACAAAAAACACACTTCAGTTCTTTTTTTCACTAGACAGAATGTCATATATTAAATAAATAATAGACTAATCAACACAATAAAAAGAAGCAATACTATGTATTTTATTAATTTCACAAAACACGAGGTATCTGTATGAAGGTTCACAAATATACTGAAAACATCTGGCACTAACCGTTATGGTGGGGAAGTATCTGGGCCCTCTCAAGTATTATATCTAAATTATTTGAATACTAGTAACATTAAAAGAAAATGCTATAGGCTAGAATGAGTACAATAGTAATCCATAGCTAGATAGCTATAGACAGTCTATGCATACACCTGGCTGAATAGTAGCTAAGATTTTATTGTCTGCTGACGTGTGTACTCAATGAAGACGTCTGCCATGATGAATATAAGTTTTTAAGACTCTAATAAATAAAATATATCAATGGCAGATCTGGTTAATTACTTTTAAAATTTTATTATTTTTTGCACTTTCAAAACTGTCTGCCACAATGTTAAACACGCGATAATGGTTTGTCATTGTTGTTTTCTGATGATAATAATAATAATATATGTTCAAATTTCAAAAGGGCAGACGTGGTCAAATGCATTTAAAATTTGCCAAAAATCGATACCTTTCTTACCTGAGCGCCATCCGCGTCCACTACTTTGAGCTTAGTGGCTCCCTAATTCAGGTATGGTAGGTATAGGGGCCTCATTGTACAAAAACTCTGGTCAAATATATAAGGGTATCCGTCCACTGGCTCTTAGACTATATTATATATAGGAAAATATAGTCACTACTAATACAAAAACAAATAAATTATTAAATTATTTTACAATATTCAATCGAAAAGTGTCAAAATAACTTGAAAGTTCGTCCCGCATTACGTCATTGCGTGGTTTGGACGAAATTTGAATCGAAAGTCAGCAATACGAAAAAAAAAATGATAAAAGTTGTATGAACATATTTAACAATAATTTTTAAATATATAGGGTGGTCCATAAATGAGGGGCTGACTAAACCTACACTCTTTTAAAGCAAAACACCCTACATATTTGATTATTTTCACATTGTCTAACAATTTTAATAGACTTCATTTATTTGCTATGCTGTATGTACGGTGTGTCAAAAAATGAGGTTTCGATTTTCTCAATTTTTTAAATGGTATTATTTAATTGACGCTATAACATACAGAGTGTTCCATTTTAATAATTGAGAAAACCGTAACCTCGCATTTTGACACACCCTATACAACTGCAGGGTGTTTTGCTTTAAAAATCTATAGGTTTGGTCAGCTCCTTATTAATGGACCACCATGTATATTAAGGAATAATTGCTAAATATGGGCATACAACTTTTATATTAATTTTTTTTCGTATTTCCAATAATAAAACATATATAGATGAATTACGCACTGATGGTACATCCTATATATGTGGCATCGGCTAACATGTTGATATCGTTAAATAGGTAAATTTATAAGGAATTGAGTAAATTGAACTTAAAATTAGTCATATTTAAGACATGTTTCATAACACCCTGTATAAAATAAACCAGTTCTATCACCACTATTTATAAGTATGTATATTAAACAATGTAAACCTTCCTCAATTATAATAATTTATATTGGGTTCTGCATCGTTCTCTAATTTCATAACAACATTAATTGCTTGGTAATCCTGTAATATTTTGAAGAGAAATTCTAGGGTTGAATACAGCAATACTAAACCATTCTAAAACTAAAATAAAATTTAAAAAATATACATTATTATTTGCCAGTCAAAAACACAACACCCAGTATAACCACAAATATTTTTAAAATACGGATTTTTTAAATCCATAAAACTTTTATTTGAAACTTGTTTACGTGTCTATAACACAAATTAAAATAGTGAACAATTACGCACTAATGGGACACCCTGTATAATAAAAATCGTAATTACTAAATACTATTTTACTTTTCTAGTTCCTAAAACCGTAGAATAGATAATGTCTATCGGAAAATTATTACTTATTTATCGATCGATCGCTTGACGATCCGCCACTGGCTTCGAAAGAATCGAAAATTGAGTGGCTGGCACGTTTTGTTTGTTGTTTTAAGTTTAATAAGTTTATCGATCGTCTGGGCATTAAGTATACACAAACCGTAAACATGGCAAATATGTTTAAAAGCAGTATAATTAAAATTAATTCGTAATATCCTAATTGAATAGCATCATTGGCGGTTACTTGGCAGTATAATTAACGGATTAAAAGAGGCTTTGAGTAATTCCGCTCATCCGATCTAGCGACCCATCGCTGTAAGTTCCACCTTCTATTGGCGACGGACGAAGAGAATTACTAGAGATAATCTTCCATACACTTTTTGTATCCTCAAATGACTAATCTAAAAATGTATTTACGCTTTACACAACTTCATTGAAGCTAACGCAATATTTCATTTAAATTTGACCATCCGATACTTCAATAGTATCTCTTTACTAATTTTATTTTTCTCTATTTAGAACATTATTTAAAGGATTTCGGTGTTGTTTTAAGTTTGTTATATTTTCTGGAGAAAAATATAAGGTGGAATCTCGTTAATTTGAATTCAATGTCGCATGAAGAAGAAATAGGTACTAAAATCAATAAGAATAAAAAATGCGTGAGCAAAAAATAAAACTTTAATTTACTAATTTAAAAGACATCCTATGCTATTATATCATACGATAAATGACTGTCAAAGAATTTTAAATTTATGTAAGATACTTTATGTTATTTGTACATTTTATGATAATAGGTATATTTTTAACTTTTGAATAATAATTTCTATAAAAGGTGCTACCTACTTTCTGTGCCTAAGCACCGAGGTGGGATTTATATTAATCCAATGTTGGATGCCGACTAACAACAGTGAAGAAGGGAGTGAGTCGTAGAAAAAGTTATGTTTTTAAGTGGGCGCCAGAAGTTTTACCTCACATCCAACAATCCATGTGACAGTTCACTACCAAATTCCAAATAGAAAACTATAGCATCTCCTCCACAAGGCCATCAAGCGGCTACAAATCGAGTATGCTCCTATTATATTAAATATGTTACTTTACCATGACAATAAATGCTGACAGTTAGCAAGTGGGGATAAATAATAAGTAAAGTTCAATATATACCCAAGTTTTAGTGTAATATAAATTATCGTGTTGACATGGGGGTCAACTTCGTTCACACTATGAAATATACTAATATTTACCAAATTAATAACAACTACATCACTAAGTACATTACTATCAGATTCCCCAACTATTAACAATAATCCAGTATCACTGGGAGTAATATTTACAACTAAAACACTATATTAAACTTAAAAATCATTAAATGGGACTAAGGATAATCGTAAAAGTGTAACACCTGAGGTGTGTACTGTATTTAGCAAATAAACAAAGAATAGTGTACTATTTACGGACGCTAGGTGTAAAAACATATAAAACTCCGTTACTTAATAAAGATATTAACTACCCTTAAGAATATACCCCACGAAGAGCTCTTAGTGACGTGTTTCGGGTTTAACAAAAATGTACTGTAAACCACACACCCCTAAACCTCGTTTACATTAGGTTTAGATTAAAATACGTACTAATAACACCCCCCAAAAAAATAGATCAAATAGTAATATAGTGATATAAAAATAAGATAGCAAAACTTGCGGTACTCTGTGATTTCTTTCCAGCTGCTCTAGTAGACGGTTGATGTCCTACTTCGGCATACAAATCAATCTGCCTGTCATAAAGGAGTACTAGCTGGTCACAAGATGTGCTAGTCAGCCCGTCACGAGAAGTGTTGGCCCTTCACAAGGACTACTGGCCCGTAACAAGAAGTGTTGGCTTTCGCAAGAATTGATAGCCCGTCACAAGAACCCCCTTTTTTCTTAATCCGCAAAAGGAGGAACAAAACGATGCACCAGATCAAATTGAACAGCAAATTCGTGAACGGCTTATTCAGAAAGACTACATATATATGTGGGCACTGAAATAAAAGACGAAGGCCTTACAAAAATAAATAATACATCATAACTTTAAGTACTGCGTAGAAGAAAACTTACCAATGAGATTCGACACGTGGTTAAATATATCCTCCTAAGAGCTCCTACAACATGTGGCCACCAAAAAAATACTACCAAATCCACACTGTTGTAACTTAAAACAAAAAGGTTGCTTCGCAATATCCCAAATGGATTGAAACGACTTCCAATAAATTTGGAAACAGTACCTTTCAAACAAAACCCACGTGTGGAATATCAATCTCGAAATTTCCAGCAAGACGGAACAACGTCACTTGACATCTCCCAAACCAGTAATACCTTAGTGACAAATAGGTGTCCCATCAGCGCCCTCTATTACGAAATAAATTCTTGACAGAAAGGGCTAAAATAACCAAACAAACCTCTAAATCCAAATAAATAGCCTAACTAAACTCAAATAGAGGTCCTATCTACCCCAAACTGATCATATACCCACAATTAACGTCAGGGCGGAAACGCTAGACCGACATCTTGAATACAGGGCAGCC